ACAGAAGGACTTGCTTTCAGAGGAACCACTGAAACTCAGTCTTCAGCTGCTCTTCCCAGGAAGTCTCCTGCCCTTGGGATAAAATCTCTGAGGTCACCTAAATAATACATCTCTGGCTGGAGATGGGGACACAGGGTAAGGGGACTGACGTGTTTGTTCTTCCAAACTCCTCTCCCCTCTCCACAGCCTGAAAGTTCTCTTGTTCCAGAAGAGGATGGTGTTGGAGGGGGCCCCAGCCGTGACTCACTCAGAGCTAATCCTTAGCAAATCCATCACCATGGAAACTGTCAATCATCCATACTTTTCATAGCTTAACGGAACATCTGCCAGGGGAAAGCTGAGTGATACAAATTGTTCGTCCTGCCTACCGTGTTTACACTGGGGCCCCTGGAAAACAGAGAGAGAGCCAGAGGAGGGCAACTCCCCACAGCAGGAAGGTGGCCCGACTCTGGGCACTAATTATTGGGGTGACCTTTGGCGAGCCTTCATCAGCTCCTCTGTGCCCCTCCTTTCCCAGTTGGTAAAATAAAGGATCAGATCAGTGATTCTCAACCCAGTTGGGCCGAGGTGGGAGGGACAGGGAAGCACATCCCCTAAGAAGGGCAGAGTAAAAGAAGCCTGTGTAGACAGTTCGTTCAACGTTATAATTTTATATTTGGAATATTACAAAATAATATTTTCATAATTTAAACCACAAAAAATAAAGTTAGACTAATATTCTTAGGCAGCAATCTTTCTCAAAGGAAGGACAAAGACACCCCTCTCTGGTCTAGGGAGGCTGATCAGAATTTCCAGTGTATCTGAGGTTTTTAAGTATGATTGTCAAAAATGAATATGGATTAAAAGACAAAAAGTTAAGAGTTGCTGGACGCTGATCTCAAATGTTAGTCCAGTTCAAACTCTGAAGATGCCACTTGGTGGCATCTTCAAACCTCAGGCTACTGCTAATTTCTTACTGGAGGGAGAAGTGTTGGAGCAGAGGCTCGCCACCTGCCCGCTCTCAGACCAGGCCTCCCCTCTCTTTATAAGATGCGGGGCCTGGAGAGGCAAAGGAGGGAAGCCGTGGGAGCAGCACGGAGGGGGCTCAGGAGGGTCACATTACTGAGACAACCTCCTGGGGGGTCTGAGAAGAAGGCCCTCTGGAATGCTGCCAGCCAAGGAGGCCGCAGCCCCACCTCAGGTGTAACTGCTACCCTGGCACCTGCGCCCGGGTCTCACTGCCAGGCTGGAGGAAACGCCCAGGTGGGAAGCCTCTTGAACACGTGCTCCGTCCGTCTGGTGGGGGTGGGGGGAGGTCAACTGCAAGCGAGGGCTGGACAATATTTTCAGATGTTAACTTTTTAAAATTCCCTCTGTTTTATTTTCCCCCTTGCCTTTACTGTCCATTCAAGAGGAAGCTGACCTCTATTTTATTGCCTTAGGGGAGATACTTGGCAGAGAGGAAGCAGAATTTGCCTGCACACTGTTTTGGCTTCCGTTTCTCAAAAACCTGGGCCCTTAGGAGATTTTGGAAGATGAAGGAAGTAGAAAAGATGCAGCGGAGTGGCTGGGGAAAGCATGGAGTCAACAAGAACAGAATTTGCTACACAGTTTGCAGGGCCCAGTGCAAATAAAAATACAGGATCCTGGGCTGGCCCCATGGCGCAGTGGGTAAGTTCAGTGTGCTCCACACCACACGTCAGCCACACTGAGGTGGCAACCCACATACAAAGTAGAGGAAGACTGGCACAAACGTTAGCTCAGGGCTAATCTTCCTCAAGCAAAAAAGAGGAAGATTGGTAGCAGATGTTAGCTCAGGGAAAGTCCTCCTCACCAAAACAAAAAAAATACAGGATCCCTTGTTCAAAAATTAGTAAGAATTTTAGCAACAGCCAAGCATTAAACTAAGCATGAGGCCCTTCTGAGCTTAGGACCCAGTGTGAATGCATAGGTCCAGGCCCACAAAACTGGCCCTGGACAGGAGTGTCTCCCCTATTAGAACAGAAGATTGGCCCTGGGGTCAGGGAGAGAAACGCCCACAGAATCTACAGCAACGGGCACCTGGGGCCCGCTCCCTGGCAGCATTGGGGGGGATCCAGCAAGACACCAAAAAGAAGGGTCTGAGAAGTGCATGGACTCTAAGCATAGGGTTCCCGGGCTCAGCAGAGTTCTGCTCTCCAAAAGTGGCTCAGAAGCAGCAGACGGCATGAACCTGACGGGATCCGCAGACAGGACAGTGGGAGGGCCTGGCTACGTGCACAGATGCTGACTAGCCAGAGTCCCCCTAACGTCCTTGGTACTGTGCAGGACCCTAAGACCTGGGATAGAAGGGCAGGGCAAGATGGAGGCATGACGAATGACTGACATCAGTTTTCAGTCATCTTACAAGAATGAAGGCTTAGAATCAGAGATTGACTGTCTTTTCATTTCAAAACAATGAAAACGATGCCCTGTTGCTGGCACACCTGGCTTTGTGGATCAAGATTCTACCTGCCATGACTGAGGCTGAGTGCTAGGCTCATTCCTGTGGCCAAGGCTCAAGAGGAGTCAGGTAGGAGGCCGCTGCAGTGACCCAGGTGAGAGATGAAGCTTGGACCAGAGTGGCCAGATGGTAGAGATGGAGAGAAGTAGAGAGAATCCAGTGATCTTTAGGTGGTAAAGTGACAGGACTTGGAGGGGACTGGTAAGAAAGAGGAAGGTATCATGAATATCTCCCCATTACTGGCATGAGCAATTGGCTGGATGGAGGTGCCACTTCCTGAGACCAGGAGTAGAGGAGGAGAATCAGTTGGGGGGCAGGTAGGTGGGATGGGTTAGATTCTGAACATGTTGGATCTGAGATGCCCAAGAGAAGATGTCAGGTAGGCAATTGAATACATGATGTGAAGCTTAGAGAAGTCTGGGCTAGAGGTATAAACTGGGAGTCATCAGCTTTGTGGATGGTTATTGAACAGTGAGCATGGATGAGTTTCCAAAGAAAACAGCAGAAAAAGAAGAGAAGAGGGCCTAGGCACAACCTGAAGAACCCCAACATTTAATGGGCAGGCAGAAGGGGATGCGCCTATGAAGGCAAGTCAGAGAGGTCGGAGGGAGACAGGAGGGTGCTGCGTCCTAAAACACAAGAGAAGAGAAGGAGGGGGCGGCATGCCACTGAGAGGGCAAATACATGGAGAAATTTAAAATGTCCACTGACTTGAGTAACGTGAGAGTCACTGATGACTGTGGAAAGCACCATTTCCTTGGAGAGACACGTTTGGAATTCCAAACGGAGACAGTGGAGGAGTGGAGCAGGAGGCAGGAAAATGGAGACGAGGAGCTCAGACAAAGCTCTAGTCTTTGGCTCTGAAGAGGCGAGAAAGGGGCCATTGCTGGAGCAAGAAAATTGAAGGATGAGGAAAGTTAAAGGCGATTAAAGTTGTTAATTTTTTTCATTTTAATAGCTTTACTGAGGCATAAGTAACATAATAAGCTGTTTAAGGTGTAACAAGCTGCAAAATTTTGACATGTGAATACACCTGTGAAACCACCGCCATAGTCAGGGATCTATTCTTCATCCCCCGAAATCTCCTCGTCCCTCCCTCCTGCTCCCCTCACCCCCAATTCCAGGCATCCACTGATTTGCTTTCTGTTCCTATAATTTGCATTTCCTAGAATTTTATATAAATGAAGTTTCATATAATTTTATCTCTTAAAAAAGTTACTCTTTTTTGTCTGACTTCTTTCACACAGCATTATTATTTTGAGATTTATCTATATTGTTGCATTTATCAATAGTTCATTCCTCTTCATTGCTGAGTAGTTTTATACTGTATGGCTGCACCATAATCTGTTTATCCATTCACCTGTTGGAGAATATTTGAGCTGTTTCCAGTTTGGGACTATTACCAATTAAGCTCCTTTAAACTTTCGTGTACAAGTCTTTATACGGACACATGCACTTGTTTCTCTGCACTAGATAACTAGGAGTGGAATGGTTAGGTGTATGTTTGATTTTTAAGAAACTGTCAAACTATTTTCCAAAATGTTGTACTATTTTCCATTCCCATGAACAATGGATGAGAGCTCCAGAGTCTCCACATCCTCGCCAACATTCAGCATGAACAGTCTTTTACATTTTCGACATTCTAGTAGCTCCTCCTCCTTTTTCTACACCTGTCTTATTTCGGGAGAGGATAATGAGCAAGGAAACGGCCACATTTTGGAAGGCAAAGGGAGAAGAAGATAAGGAGACAAAATCAGCCACACTCCAGGGCATCAGCAGTGCCTTGATCAAGAGTGAGTTCTTTATATATTTTGGAAATTAACCCCTTATTGGATATATGATTGGCAAATATCTTCTCCCAGTTGGTGGGTTAAAAGCTTGTCTGAGTCTGTGCCCTGGGGACAAGCTCAGTCCCTGGTAGATGTTTGTTTCCTATGGATCACCTTGTCAACATGTTAGGTTACTGCCTTCCCGGCCAGGGCCCCAAGCATAAGACAAGAGTTCTCCCAGGACTGCGGTTGTGGAAGGCTCCTCTCTGGCCACTGTAGAGTGGGACAGGGGGAGGCCAGGTCAGGAGACTCATTCATCGCCCATAGGATCTCACTTTCACCCACGTCCAGTGTAGCAAGAAAAGAATAGCATTTCTCTGTCCTCCGGGAGAAGACTCAGCATTGGGGAAAGAAAGAGAAGTTTCTAGACCAAGTTTGCTCCTATCCCAGGGTGGAAAGGGCAGCTTGTCTTGCTGGGGAATCCAGCCTGTTCAGCCCTAAGAGAAATATGTCCCCTCTATCAAGTTGGCCAAGAAGTGTCAGTATACAAGTGTGGGGGGGAGGAGGATTAAATCATGTCAGGGGCCTTCAGGAATCATGAACAAGTAAACTCTCTGTCACAATAATAGATTTTTAGTTAAAGCTAAGGCCATCTCTAAGGTCAGAACCACACCCTAAGAGCACACGCAGGCCACTTATGATACTGAGTTTTGGGAACCAAGCCTTTACACCCCTAATGTGAGAATGAAAAAGAATCCAGATTACTATACCTGTAGCTGCTGGGAAGAACACCCCAAAGACAGTGAAAAAAGACTCCCCAGGGCTGTAATCTGGCAGAGTGTTGTTCTGCAGCAGTTCTGGTGAATATCCAATAAAACCATGTTCTGAAATAATACAAAGAGAAACATGAGCCAAGCGATAAGCCATAGTGCAGTTGTCCCTAGATTACAGTCTTATTTATCTAACATTAAAAGGTAGGGGGATGGGGGCCAGCCCCAGAGACCTAGCAGTTAAGTTCAGCGTGCTCCGCTTTAGCAGCCTGGGTTCAGCTCCCAGGCGTGGACCTACACCACTCGGCAGCAGCCATGTTGTGGCAGTGACCCACATACAAAGTAGAGGATGACTGATTGGTATGGACGTTAGCTCAGAGTGAATCTCCCTCAGGAAAAAAAAAAATGTAGAGGGGTGTGTGTGTGTGTGTGTGTGTGTGTGAGAGAGAGAGAGAGACAGAGACAGAGAGAGAGGAGGTCTGACAGAACCATCTTCCTTTCCACTTCTAGCACTGGACTTTTGTGTATCTATACAGGTAAACACAGGCCAATGAAATGACATGAAGGGGAACAGAAATTACCTCTGGGAAGGGGAGCATTTCCATTTTTTGCTTCATAGACTTCAGCATAACTAAAATCTTTCAATGAGCATGTATTTATGTGTTGGCTTTTAATTTTAAAAATTAAGATACCTCCCTGTTCAAAAACTTTCCCGTGGGTCCCTTGGAGCTACAGAACCAAGTTCAAACTCCCTCCACAACCAGGCAACAGCCCACCATTTCCTGTCATCCTTTGCCTCGCCTCTCCCAGTCACACAGTCACACAGATGACTCCTCCCAAGAACACCACGAATGCCCATCCCTGTGTCCCCTGCCTTCCAGAACCTTCTCCTACATCTCTATGCATCAATATTGTGCTCAATCTTCAAGCCCATCTCAAATGTTGCTTCCTTTGGGCTTTACAGGAACTTCCTAATCAGAAGCAATTCCTCCTAAGTGCCCGGAGCACCATGACTGGCCACGTGAGGTCTTTCCCCAACTAGACTCCTTGGGGCAAGAAATCCAGTCTTCCACGCCTCTGTCCCCCAGAGTCAAGCACTGCACCTGGCACCCAGGAGGCAGGTGGCAAATATGGGTCACACTGAGAAGAATCTTCTCTCAGATCTCTTGGCTATGAGCACATCTCACATCCATGCTTTCGGTTTGACTTGTCCACAGACCACGTTATAGCAGGAAGATCTCAGATACGACTTCTTCAAAGCATTTTGCACATTTGGTACATTGACTTTAATAGAATTGTCAGGTGCTTTCAATCCTACAGGCTCTTTGTTTCTTTGTCAAAGGAGGTCCCTTTGAACAGCATCTCTGGACACGTTAGTGGGCTGAGGAATTTTAAGATACAAGTCGAATGTTCTTGGGCTCAGAAACACCCAGGATACCCAGCCTCTGCTTTCAAATCTCATCTCTGAGAAGGAGCTGGTTTGTTCCTGTTAACTAGAGTCCAAGAGAAGCCCATCCTGCTCCTTTTCCCTCAACCCCCGTAATCATGGAGGATGGGCACTCAGCCATCACTCCGGTGGGCCCCCAGGGCTGTGGGGACAGAATCTCCCTCCTGCCTGTCCTCCACACCCGCTCAGGGCTTAGCTTCTCTCTGAGCTTCCATCCACAAAAGAGCTCCTGCTCGCTCACAAGTCCAACGAGATCGCCAGCGCTTCTCACGGCTTCCAAGATCCATAACTTCATAGGAAAAATATTTTTCAAAAAAATAATAAAACGAAAGCTCAGTGAAGCACAAGGCACTCTTGGGAGGCCGGTCAAGACTTAAAATCATTGTCGATTGCTTTCTTTTGCCTGAACACAGAATCTGTCCTGGGATATGAAATCTCAAGGACTGTGCAGCATTTCTGAGAGGTTTGGCATCCTCATAGCTGGTCCTCCCCTCATTAACAGAAAGGCAATAATAGCTAAGTTAACTTTAGTTTATCCGCTGGCTGACCCCACTGACTAGCCTTTCTGAGGAGAAAACCAGCCCAGCCCGCCTTGGAACGGAGCTCAGCCAAGCTGGGATGACGCACAGGTCTGAAAGCACATCTGAGCGCTGGGCTATGCGCGCGCTGGGCAGGCCAGCCTGCAGGACATAAACACTTCATCAGGCTCCCTTGATCTCTGCCGGTCCTAAGGCGGCCCTGACACAGGCGAGTATTTGGTCATCCTCTTGAAGGGCTTTGCCCTGGCCAGCCTGAGGGTCAGAGGGATTTCAAGTCTCATAGATGAGTCACTGGGAGGCCTTTTTTCTCCCTCCATCCCACCAACAAGACCCCGAGATGAGAGGATAAGTCACTTGGCTCCCACGGGGGTCTGTCGGGGAGGCCTGCCTCGGTCCCGTTTCTCTGCAGAGCGGATGACAAATGCAGCCCCCAGACTCCCACAAGCACGCGCTCACACTACATGGCCGCTGCCCCAGCCTCTCCTCTCAAGGCCAGTTCTTGATCTTGCTCAAAGAATCTTAACTTTGAAAAGAACTTTATGGGCCAAGCTGTTTGTCAATGCTTTATTCATAGCAATGTAAAAAGGAGGGGGGCGGTCTCTAAATGTTTAACTGGGGTGACTGAAGTATTTTAAATCCTCATAAAGCGTTTTTATGACCATAGAAAATTGTCTGTTATATATACGTTAATGAAGAAAACTGGATACCACTTATAGTACAAACACACACACAAAAGTTTTAATTTATACATGTAAGAAAAGACTAGAAGGAACTATACCAAAATACTAACTGTGGTTGTCTGTATAATGCAATTATGGGCAAATTCTTTTTCTTTGTTTTTTTATGTTTACAGATTTTCCGCATTGTCTTTAATGAGCATAATCGACTTATCATCAAAAAATAATATCTTTTAGAAAAACAAACAAAACATCCCACAATTGAAAGCCCACTTTCTCCAGACAGCTTTTCTATAAACAAAGGTGTTTTTTTTCCTTTCCATTTATACTCTCCCTGCTTCTCAAAATGATTTCAGTGGTTTATGAGAAAAACATAAGTAAGATAGAGCAAACGAAATAAGGACGGAAAAAAAAAAAAGAAATTGTGCAAGAGAAGAGGGAAACACCCACAGCCACAGCCCTACCTCTGCGGAACACAGCCTGAGGGCTCTGAATGAGCCTCTGAGGAAAGATCCTGCCGGGATCTCCCCCAAACTAGAATTCGAGCCCTAGAGAGGTCTTTTTATGGATTTTTGACTAAGCCCCCTCAGGCAGGAACAGACCCCAGGGCCTACCCCTCACACAGGCCACTTTCCCATGATAAGAAGGCGCCCCAGAGGTTTGCATGGTGGACCTGCCACATTTCCTCTGCCCCAACCTTCTCAGGCCCTTGCGACTTCCAGCCCCTCAAAACCCCACCATCTTAGGTCCCCAGTCCTGAGCCAGCCCCCACAGAGGCTTGGCCCCACTGGCCTTCACCCCAACTCCTGGGGCCCCAGTCTCTCTCCTACACCCCAAATCTGGGGATCCAGCTGGACCTTGAGCTTACACAGAGCAGGAACTCTGGGCAGGCACCGATGTCTTTGACTGGCTTGTACCTGCTGGCTGAGGTGTGGGTTGAGGTTAGCTGGTCAGGTCCAGGGTGCCAGGCTGAGCAGACACCACGTGCCATGCCCTCTTACAGTGAGCCTTGATGCCTGATTTGCTGATCAAAGTTTCTTAATTCTTCTAGTCATGGCTCTGTTCAAGAATCTGGTGGAAGGTGGGGCCCCTCTCCCCACAGACAGCACATTTTGCACACAATTTGGGAGTTCGCAGGCCTCTGAAGACGTTCGGTGGGGCATGGACCCCGAGGTTCAGGATCTCTACTCTAGGGGCGGCCTCCGCAGCGGAGACTGTTGAGCCAGGCCCTGCCTGCACCTCTGGGGTCCCAAGCCCTGACGGCCACCACGCCCTGCCTCCGAGTGGACAGTGACCCCGAGTGATGCAGCCAACAAGGTTTCCTGCTCCAGGCCCTGCCAGGCCACGTCAAGTCTCTGTGTGCGTGGGCACTGTGCAGGTCCCCCGAGGACATCACAGGGCAGCCTCTCTTCTGAACACAATGATGAGCAGCCATTTATTGAATGCCTCCTACATGCTGGTCACTGGGCACTAAGTCCTTCACAATGTCATCCATGATCCTCACAACTACCCTGTAAGATCCGAGGGGAGGAAACCAGGCTCAGGCAGGTGCCGAATTTTGTCCAAGGTCACACAGCCAGACCTGCCTGTATTACAGCCCCTGCCTCTCCTCCAGGAGGCTGGTCCCCATGTCCCCAGGTCTCCAGCACTGCCCTCCCTCACTGAGAGATGCACACAGCACCGGCTCCCTTCAATCCTGTGAAACACGCCCCCAGAGATTACAGCATCTCCCTCTCTGCATCTGTGGGGGGCAGGTAGGGAGCCTCCCCTGTGGAATGCCACCTGCCAGGGGGTATGTGACTGGCTGGGGCTTGCACAGCTGGGAAGAGGCAGAGCGCAGTCTGGAGCTTGGTCTGTCTGAATTCAAAGTTTTCCATCTATCATACAGTGCCTCTGTAATTCATCCCAGAGGTATTTCCCCAGAGCTTTCTAAAGCTTGTTTCTTTGCCTCTGTGAGTCTTTCAACTCCTCTGCTGATAAAACTGGGAAGCCAGGCTGGGGGCCTCTGAGCTGACATCTTCCAACTCTGAAAGGCCTGGGATGCCCCGTGCCTGCAGCTGATGTATTGAATGTACCTGGGTTTGACCTGAATATCTGTTTCTGTATCCATGAAAAAAATACTTTGGTCTCATTTAAGCTGGGTGCTTTCAGGAAGAACAGAGACACAACAGAGGCAGGAAAGAGAGAGAAACAAACCATAGCAAAACCCAGGCAAGAACAGGCACAGGGAAAACACTGGAAGGTCTGTCTGCAGAAAGCCCTGGCCTTTCCCCCTCTAGAATCCGGTAGCACAGCTTGTTGGGATGGCAACAGAGAGCTGTGGTTCTGTAAGACCCACTGTCTGTTCCCAAGGCGGGCTGCCCGTGGGACACCACCCACCTCGCCTCCACCAAAGGTGGTCAGCCTTGGTCACAAGTTGCAACAGAGAGCAGTTCCCTCAGGGCTGGGCTG